CATGTTTCTTTCGTTAAACGGCGAGAGAGACCATTCTATGATTTCTTCGTTCGAAGGCGATACGGGTCGTCTTATTATTTCTTTGTTCGAAGGCGAAACCGGGCGTCTCATCATTTGTTCATGAAAAGGTGGCGCTGGCCTTCTTTGGGTCGTTGTGTTGGAAACCAGTGAAATGGGGTTTTGATATATCCTATGAAGTTTTCGCTAGTCTATTGTGTGGCTAGACGTGTAACTTGTTACTTACTCACGGGATTTTTCGTAGACTGCATCTCTTTGTAGCGGGTGATGCTTTGTGCTGTCTTTTTTGTGTGATGTGCTATTGTTTTGTTCGACGTGTGCATTTGAAAGCCGGATTGCATCGGAATTGTGGTTGTTTGTGGCTCGCTGAACCTGTCATAAATCATAAATAGTAAATTGTTGGATATTTTGATGAAAGATTGGAACCTGATCCGGTGGAAGCTGTGCGTTGGATGAACGTTGTTGATTGTTTCCCCATTTCGTGTTGTCTGTGGTGTTGCCTTGGATTTTCGTTCTAAGAAGAATGAAGCTGACGGTCGGTCGGTTAAGCAAGGTTTACGAACCTGTATCGTGCTGGATGAGATCGTTTCGCTTCGTTACCACAAATTTCCTGTAAAAGAACTGAATATCGGTTATAAGGAAGTAACTGCTGCGTACGGTGTGTTGGATCCAATGGTGGAAATCAATGAGCTTGTCACAAAGTTCGCATGGAATCTGGTCATTGTCTTTGCTGGTATCATGTCGGTAGTTCGTCGATGTCTCTGAAAAAGAGGTTAGTTGAGTATAATGCATAATGGCGATTAAAGAAATGGATGCCTGAGTCACGTGTTATTTCTGCAGATAATGATATTTGGCGACTAGAATGATATCAATGATCTTGTGACTTTTGCGCGGCAGAATTTAACTTACTTTAATGTTGACCCAGTGCTAAGGTTTGTTAGCGATTCTCTCAAGTTGATGAAAGTAGGACGATTTGATGGGTCCAGCTGCCAACACTGATGCATTCTGGTCCAAAGTTGGGAACTACATATAGAGGGTTGAGAAAGCATCCGGTTGTTTAGTTTTCGTTGTCGAATAGTTTCATCTTTCTCTATCGAGGAATACGGTAATTCACCATAGGAACAGCCTTCCCACATCAAAACACCCATCGAATAAACGTCCGATTTCTCAGAATACGGAAGACTAGACGGATCACGAAGAATTTCTGGAGCAGCATACCGAGTTGGGATAATTGTCATTGTTGTCATAGATGGGCAATCAACGATTGAAAACATTTTACTGGCACGGGTCAAACCAAAGTCGGTTAATTTCACTAAATTATCTTTTGGCTCAGTTGAGTTGCATTTAAAGACAAGAACGTTTCGACAAGCTAAATCGCCATGTACAATGCCGTTGTCTGCCAAACAAATCATGGCATCACATATCTGTTCGAATATTTTCCATAAAACTCGTTCTGACGGTTTGAAACTGTTGTCTCGTAGTAACTCGCAGAGATCACCATGTGGAGCACATTCTTGAAGAAGCATCACTGAACCAGGATTACATTGAACAAGACCAAATGTGCGGACAATGTGAGGATGACAGCCAAGTTGCACATAAAAAGATGCTTCTCGATTGGCTTTGGCTCCATCAATTTTAAGCAAAACAATGGGTGGACCTTTGTGATTAATCCATTCAACTTCATAAATTGATTTTCCAAAACCTTGAAATAATGGTCTAGGTCTTGTTCTTCGGATATCAACATCAAGTTGAAATTGACAGGATGCTTGTTGCGATGCTGGTGTTGATTTTAGTTCTTCGATCATTTTTTTCACGGTATAATTTGTCCTTAATGTATTTACACTCATCGGTTGTCTTGTCATTGGACTTGTTCCATTCTTTGTTAACCATTCTGTAATTGCTTTTCGTTCGTAAGTATGACCATCATCACCTATGGCAGGGTCCTCGAATATTTCATCCGTGATGGGACATTTACAGGACTCCATATAAAATTTAAATAGATGCTGGTTCTGCTTTTTGATTAATACTAAACAACAAGCGAACATAGTAATATATTAGGTGGTGCATTGATTGAGATTGTTCTTTTTTATTGTTTCTTTTTTTTCGAGAGAAAAGAGATTTTTTTACGTATTCTCTAACATAAGCTTCTCATGATAAAGCTTGCAGTTATTTTTCGACCGTGTAAAAACATATTGACTAGGCATATTATGCAAAAGTGTAACTTTTTCTCTGTAGAAAATAATAATAAGATTTTAATGTCGTGTCATATTGCTTGAAATACATACGACTGAAATTCAAATCCATAAATATGCTATAATACCTTTCTTACATAAATACAAACATTGCTAGAAGACAATAAAGAAGATATTCGCTTTGAATTTTGATGATTGACTGTCTCTTAATAGAGTGAATCGTATTATTTTCTTTCTGACACCCCTAATGAGTCGCTAGTGACGGAGTCCACTGACTAATTAGACCAAGTCTTGTGAAAAAAAAAGAAAGTTACTAGTACTTTCTTTCTATAGACTTGTGCCTATTTAGGTATGCACGATGTTAATGTTAACTTCACCCTCGTCCTAATCATGTACTCACATTGAAATTAATTGTTAAGAGCTATGCAAAAACAATTTTTTTTGTAATAACACCAACAATACTGAGGCAACGCCACGACATGTGTCATTTCTGTCGTTTTGTCAGATTGTTGACTTCGTGTTGGTTGTTTTAAGCTGGAAAAAAGAAAAATCGACACTCAACAAACTACGTCACTCTCCGAGTATGCAGCATGTTTCTTTCATGCACATGCATCAACGTTCGACAAAGAAGAATGAAGAGAAAATATACGCGTCAATAAAGGTATGCTCAGTGACATTGAGTGTTGCTAAGCGAACAGTAAGATATTCGTTCGCTAGATGTAGTACATAGTTTGACATGTATTTTCCTTCTTTCTGCTCTGTCATTCATATACTTTTTCTTTCTTTTCTCTTCTGTTTGTTTCTTGGATCTATCTTTCTTGAATTGGTTTATTCCAAGTATATCCTAATATACAGATTGGAATAAATCAAGGATGACCACCTGCCTTTTCTCTCCTTGGTTTTTCTTCCTTTATATTAATAACCACGTTTTTAGTTAAAAATTCATTCATGTTAAAATAACGAAGGGAAAATAAAGTCTTTGACATCTTGTTTAAACTGTAACAGTGTTTCATGTAATGTATAGAACGCATTTGAATGATGCGCATAATCCTCTCAAGCATGAAAAATAGTTTCTAGCCTCCAAGTTGCTGAAATAAGACACTGAAATTACCAAAACTTATACCAAAAACACTTACTAGCCGATTGGTATAATAAAGCTTTAATGTCTGATCACTACTGATTATTCATAGCCGAATATTTCTTTGCAACCTGGCTACGTAGTTTTGATAGCATTCAGATGGCATAACGAAGATTATGAACACAAGTCGGGTGTAGGCGTTGGTGTAGATGTAGGTTTCGATGAAAGTGTGACATAGTTGAAGAACAGACCGTACGCTCATACCCACATCCAAACTCACATCCACACCCAACTTTAATTAGTATATTTACATTAAATATGATTAATTTTCATGGTTTTGAACTGAAAGTCTCAACAAATTCTAGTGAAAACTATTTCTCGATATTCAAAACCTTAAAAATCTCTTACCAAATCATATTAATTTTCTGAAAAATCTTTTTAATTAAAAATTATCGATATAAGAGTAAGATACAATAGAAGATTCCCCTAAAAAGTTTGTACACTTGGACATAATTGAAGATTCAAAGGGGTTCTATTAAAGAAATTTAATTAAAATTACAGCGCTACACCTCGGCAAAAACATTCTAATGCACCTTTTGTGAGTGTAACAAATTAAGTATTCTATCTTACTTATATTTATAGGAAAGAACATATCATCGTACAACAACTTTACAAAAAAAAACGTCTGTTTTACTTTATCATCATATTATATAGGAACAACATATATTTTACTTATTATTTAAAAATTTTTTATTTTTCTGATATTGTATGTGTATTTTAGTAACAGCAATATCATTTCGATATTCAACAACATATGAATGATCACTTCTTAAGGATTTCGATGCTATTTCTAGTGCTTTTTCATAATTCTGAAGAACAGATTGATAATCACGCATAAGAAAATAGATCGTGCCTCGATTACTATAAGTAGTAGCAATAGCCTCATGATTTTTCATTATTATATCGGAATTTAATTCCAGTTGTAATACTTTGTCACAATAATTAATTGCTGCTTGATAATTAAATTTTTGTTTATATATTCTTGCCATATTATTATAAATCTTGATTAATAAATCTTCATCTTTTTCATTATTTTTGAAAAGAGTATCAAGTGCCATTTTATAGAATTTCAATGCAAGTTTATAATTTTTTTATCATCATGAACAGTCGCAATATTATAATAAATAGTTGATAATAAACAATTGTCATCGACAACTATTTCTAGAGCTTTATTGTAATAAATCAAGGATTGTCTATAATTCCTCTTGGAACGATAAATACGACCAATATTATTACATGTCGATGGTAAAAAATTATGATCATACGAAAAGAATTTCAAAGCATTTTCATAATTTTCAAGTGCAGTATCATAATCATTAGAATCCTGATAGCTACATGCGAGATAATAATAAATTTTCCCAAGATTCGGATGAGTTCAAGATGCATATTCAAGAGCTTTTTCATAATTTATTCCTGCATTTTTATAATCTTGTTTACAATCATTTATATAACCGATTTTAAAATAAGTTGTTGCTAAATCTTCTTCTGATGGAGTAGTAGAATTTTTTAATTGAATATCGAGTTGTTAATGAATATAGATTAATGCACTTGTATAATGCTCTTTTTTTATATAAACTTTAATGAGATTAGATAATGTGAATAGAGTTGAATTATTACCAATTTCTGAAGCCTTATTCAAATTAATTAAAGTATTTGTTAAATCATCTTTTTCAAAATATATTTCTCCTAATACACTATATGTCATTGCTAAACTTGGACTTGTATCAAATTCATCATATTCAAGCTCAATATTTATAGCTTTTTTATAATATTTTATTGCCATTCCTATATTTGATTTGTGTTTGTATAGTACATCTAAGTTAAAACATATACAAGCCAATAATTCTTTGTTATAGTAGCTGACGATGATTTAGAAATAGCCTTTTTTAAATATTTCAAAGCAAGTTTATACTTTTGCTCATCGGTATACAATGATCCAATATTACTGTATGAATTAATTATGTCTGGATGATCATTTGACAATGATTTTAAACGAATTTTAAGTGTTTTTTTATGATAAAACAATGCTAATGCTAAATCGTCAAGTTCACTATAACATTCGGCCATATTATTATATGTTGTAGCTAAATCAGGATGATTTTTTTGACATTGATTTAAGAGAAATATCTAAAGATTTTTTATGGTATTCAATTGCTTTTTCAGAATTACCCATTCTATCATAAGCACAATCAAGATTTGAATAACTAGCTGACAATGTAGGATGATCAGTAGGTAAAGATTTAAGTCGAATTTCGAGAGCTTTTTCAAGATTTATTCGAGCTTCATACGAATGTCCATTCGAAAGATAAATTTCGCCAATATTATTAAAAGTATCCCCTAGATTAGGATGCATATTTGGAAGATATCTTAGTCAAATTTCTTTAGCTTTTTCATGATATTTTAAAGCTTGTTTATATTTACTCAAACAACTATAAGCAACACCTAAATTATTGAATGTTGTCGCAAATTCAATGTCGTTTTTAGTTGAAAATTTTTTTTGAATCCGAAAAGCTTTTCTATGATATTTTATTGATTGTAAATAATTACCTAATTCATTATAAACATGCCCAATATTATTTAATATCATTGATGATGTAATAGAATCATTTGGCATTAATAAACGATTAAG